TTTTATTTTGTAGTTAATAATGAACCAGATGACTGAGGTAAAGCAGTAACACAGTTTTATTTTGTAGTTAATAATGAACCAGATGACTGAGGTAAAGCAGTAACACAGTTTTATTTTGTAGTTAATAATAAACCAGATGATTGAGGTAAAGCAGTAACACAGTTTTATTTTGTAGTTAATACTAAACCAGATGACTGAGGTAAAGCAGTAACACAGTTTTATTTTGTATTTTATAGTTTATAGTTAATAACAAACCAGATGACTGAGCCTAAGCTGCAACATTTACAGTTTTATTTTCTATTTTGTAGCTAATAATGAAGCAGAAGACTGAGCTAAAGAAAGAAGTGGAAAGTTTAAAAACTGTTCTTGAAATGAAAAAGTCTGAAATTCAGAACTTACGAACAGAAAACCTAAAAATGCAGAAAGATGTAAGTAAAGATTTAGAGTTTGCAGGAACTTTAAAATCAAATCATTTTTACATGGTGATTTTTATTAGAATTTTTCTGGTTGAAGTAAACCGACTAAGATTGGAATGTCAAAGATCTGTTCTTGTTTAGCATTAGTGATAAATAAACAAAAGTGAATAAAAACGTAAAATAAATTGGATTGTTACATATAGATATCTTGCTTCCAGGTTTTATTAATACTAGCTTTTCAGGCTTAAAGAGTAAAGACTGAATATGTATAAATGTAAATGAGAGAATAATATCAGTGAATTGTCGAACAGCATGTAACGTATCAACTATCGAGAACAGCATATTGTATTGTTGTCAAACATTATAAACAACTACAATAAAAATAATAATAGATATCAACTATCGAGAACAGCATGTAACAAAAGAAAATGATGTAGGCAATCAACTTCCTTGTCAGATATTACTTTCTGTACTCACGCTGTCCTCGACAGTCGATATGTTACACGCTGTCCTCGACAGTCGATATGTTACACGCTGTCCTCGACAGTCGATATGTTACACGCTGTCCTCGACAGTCGATATGTTACACGCTGTCCTCGACAGTCGATATGTTACACGCTGTCCTCAACAGTCGATATGTTACACGCTGTCCTCGACAGTCGATATGTTACACGCTGTCCTCGACAGTCGATATGTTACACGCTGTCCTCGACAGTCGATATGCTACACGCTGTCCTCGACAGTCGATATGCTACACGCTGTCCTCGACAGTCAATATGTTACACGCTGTTCGACAGTCTATATGTTACACGCTGTTCTCGACAGTCTATATGTTACACTGTTCTCGACAATTGTACGCTATTCTCGACAATTGGTGTATTGTACGCTATTCTTGATAGCTGATACGTTACACTCTGTTCTCGAGAGCTGATACGTTACACTCTGTTCTCGAAAGTTGATATATTTAAAAATAATATTATTATTTTGTATGGTTTCTGATAATAAAGAAAGTGACAAGAATCCTACTCATTATTCACTGTGGATTTGAAATACTTGCATAAAGTAAAACCTGGATGTGAGCATCACTTTACACACACTGAACTGTTTCAGAGGCTTGTAGAGTTCAGAGAATTTAAAACTGCCATTTCAGATTTTTCCAAATCTCTAAATTGATTATGACAAAAGGTAAGTCATTTGTACATAAATTTTTTTTCTGATATCATAAATAGTTAAAGTCACACGTAGTGTCAGTTTGCATTTCATTAAATAAAGGTATTTTGGTGTACCTTGTTAGCTGGAAGAACTACCATTGGCTAAAGAACAAGTGGAGAAGTTAAAAGCAAGAAACGAAGATTTACAAGCTCGAGTTGATGAGAAAGTTGAGCTGGAACGGTTAGTTTACAAAAATAATAATAGATACACAAGTTTACCATATTGTATTGTTGTCAAACAACTACAATAATAATAAAAATAATAATAGATACACAAGTTTACCATATTGTATTGTTGTCAAACATTATAAACAACTACAATAATAATAAAAATAATAATAGATACACAAGTTTACCATATTGTATTGTTGTCAAACATTATAAACAACTACACAAGTTTACCATATTGTGTTGTTGTCAAACATTATAAACAACTACACAAGTTTACCATATTTTATTGTTGTGAAACATTATAAACAACAACACAAGTTTACCATATTTTATTGTTGTG